GCCTGCGATGAAATCGGAAAGATGGGCCAGGGTAAGGCTCATCAAATCACCCACGCACTGATTTACGAAGGCGAGGAAAAGGCGGATGGCGCGGAGGTACTGCGACAGTGTGCCCCCCGAAAATTTCCGCAGAGATGCTTCGACAAGGATCTGCGGGTGCTGCGAGGCTTCCGGGCTTGCGCCAGCATGCTGCCAGCGACGCAGGATTTGAGTATCAAAACCCATTCGGCAGTGCACTTGTCCTTCAGCGTGGCTTGCAGCTGAGCAGTAGAAGAAGGCTCAGGCGGGCGGACAGGGCCATATGGCCTGGGCAGGCGCCGAACACGCGGCGTAAGGGCATCACTGCGATTGGCAGGCTGAGCAGGGTCGAGCCTGACCTGTGCGGTCCTGGCTGATGTGTGACTGCAAGGCTAGACTGCGAGGCCAAGGGCCTGCAGGGCGGCTTGGGCAGAGGGCAAGAAAAAGGGTCCACCCAGGACCTTAGCGGAATGCACTCTGGAACTGGGCACCCTGGTCTCTGATTTGCCACTGAAAGCCTGGGGCAAGGGCGCAGTGCTGGGTGGCTCCGCAGAGCCGCGCCAGCCCGCCGAGCATGTGACCGCTTGTCACCGCTTCGTCACCGCTCTCTTTTGGGCCAAAAAGTGCGCAAAAGGCTTGGGCCAGCTCCGCGGTCCGACTTCGCTCTGCCCTGGTGCGGGCCTGGTGCGGGCCTGGTGCGGGCCTGGCGCGGGCCTGGTGCGGGCCTGGTGCAATCCTGTGTTGGGGCAGGATTGCAGCTTCAATCCTGCTGTGAGCGCAGGATTTGCTCCACCCAGCACTACCAGCAGCTTGGGCTGGAGCTGTTCTTGCCCAAGCACAGCCTCGTGATGGAGCCGGCCCTGCTGTAGAGCTCCCAGGCATCAGGCACGTCGTTGATGCTCAGGACGAAGGGCAGGCCGCTTGCGAAGAGTGCGTCTCGGAGCTCCGAGTGGAAGGCCAGGTCACGCCCCCGCCTCCTCGTGCCATAGTAGTTCATGCTGCGACCTGGGAAGATGTACTTGGATGACCGGTTGGGCTTGTAAGTGCTTGCAGCGTTTGCATGAGTTAGTAACTAAGTTATAACATCGCTAACCTATGTTATAACCAACTTAAAGTAAGATATAAGTTGCGCAACAACAACAACTTGATGCGCAGACTTATAAGTACATACTAAGTAGCACGCGAAGTTGTTCAAGTTATAAGTGCTCACCGTTGAACTTACGGAGCGGCGTTGCAACTTAGTTGCGGTAGTTATATGTACACTTATAAGTATCACTGTGCTGTTTAGCGCAAGGTTATAAGTTGGTTTGGTTGAAGTTACATAACGTCTATGGTTCAACTTGTGGGAGTTACGTCGCTGAAGTTATAACTTCGACTTGACCCACTTACTATGTCCCACCGTTGGACTTAGTAAGTTCGACGTGTTGGACTTAGCAAGTCCGACGCGCTGGAGTTACGTGGCATGTGTTTTGCAATTTACACCACGCATTTTCTGGGTCACGCTGCCGCGAAATCATGTGGCGCAACTTTTCCGCAGTGGTTGGGCGTGTTTTTTACACTTTGAGTTTGAAAAAGCAAGTGCGACGGGCGGTGAACATGCACGCTTGCAAGTGTAGCCTTGGATGTATATGTGAGAACTTTTTTCCATGCAAGATATCACTGGAAACCATAGTTGCAATAATTCAGACGTGTTTTTTTGCAAATACCAGTGGCTCAAACTGACTTGACATGTTGCAACAGCGCGAAGAACCTCTGGAGCAGGAAGTCTTTGTGCTTGTTTGCGGTCAATGTTTTGACATCGTTTTATGCTTGAAAGTTGCAGGGTGAACGTTTTGTGGTTTCGGATTGCGAACTTGTGGATGCATGTTTTGCACGTGGAACCCGCGTCAAAAGCTGATGCTTCATGGAGGATAGCTCAGGGCCTCAGAACCGCTGCACGCATGTCACAAGACAAGAGCCGTTGCGTGTTTGCTTGCCGGGCAAATTGCCATTCTCAATGTGTTGCGTTTGGAAATGGTGCAAAACAATGCTAAGTCTTTAGAGGGAATCATTTTGACCTGGTGACGTTGAGCCCATCTCGCTCGGTGTGTTGCAAGGTGTGCCCAGAAAGGTGTCTAAAGCTGGAAGCTGGCGTCGAAGGCGGGAATTGCAGTTGCAGAGCGCCTTGCCAACTTGGCGCTCGCAGTCTTGCAGTAGCAGAGCACGCGTGCTCGCTGGCCGTATCCAAGTTGCATGTTGCGACCGCCTGTGGCCGTGCAGTCCTCAATCTATAGCAACAGCCCCTTGCGTGTATCTAGAGGGACGCCTGTTGATATGGCAGCCTTGACAGAAGACTGCAGGAAAGAAATTGAAGCTCAAGCAAGGAAACCTTGCCGAAGCCCGCGTTGGCAGGCTCATCCGTGAGGATCCGGGAGCTGGCGGAGGATGGCAGTCTTGCAGACACGTCGGGCCTGTCCGACAAAGGTTTTTCAGCACGGTTGAAAGTTGTGGACAAGAAATCTAAAAAAGAAGGCGTCATCCTGAGCACGGACACCTGCAACGTGCGCGTTGAATGGTGCGACAGTGGAAGCACTGAAGCAGTGAAAACATCCCTTTTTCTTGAGGGTGCGTTCAGGCCTTTAGCAAACCAGAAGGTTCACCAGGAGGTCGAGCTCACAGACTTCCGGAGCAGCCCCAGCTGGCTGGAGCAGCGGGCCAAGTCATCGACATTCTTGGCACTGCGTGAGTTGTCAGAGAAACTCCCCACCTTTGAGTTCATCCTGTACCAGAAGCCCAAAGCCCTGAAGTACGTTGGGAGCAACTCTGTAGGCAAAGCAAAGCTGCAACTGGCGCCCGTCACGACGAAGGTTGTGCTGGGGTCGGCAGGGTCAGTGGTGCTCGGCTTCGTCGAGTTGGGCGGGGAGAAGAAGACTGTGTGCCTTCAGCCATGCGCTGCCTTCACATCACCCTTTTGGCACATGAAAACATCCAAGGACCCCGAGGAGTGCAACATGATTTTGAGCCAGGCTTCGCAGGTGAAGTTGAGTTTGGGCAAGGTGTCCATCCAGGTGGCTAAGAACACCCAGAAGATCGAGCCAGGAGATTTCCTATGCCTCATGTCCAGCGAGGGCGATGGTGAGGAACACTCTCCTCCTTCGTATAAACCAGGCGGCGACTGCGCGCAAGTGTGTCACAGAGCATGCGCAGCGCAGGTTTGCCTTGACACTGATTGCAGTGCAACTTCCTGAATAGATACATCTCAGGCATCAAGCGGGTGTTTGTTATGTAGGCTGGAGCGTGCAACCTTGATGCCGCAGCAAGGGCCTTTGAGTTTGATCAGCCACAAGGAGGGATTGCTTTCTAGTTCTTACCATGTAAAAAGCCAGGCGTGATTTGCTAGACCAGCGCGGTATTATTTCGCGCCCCTGCCCCCCATGGCAGACGGAGAGTCCTCGCGTGAGGAAGACCAACCGGACGCTGGCAGCGACGTTTCTGAAGACAGGGGATGGCAAATAGACACTTTAGTTGTTGTCCGCCACCCCAGTCTGAAGAAGCAGTGGACGCCTTCAACCAAGCATGTAGGCCAGCAAACATTCTTCAAGTTGAGCCGATGGGATCGTGGATGCGCAATGGCCTTCACTGGAAAGGGGCTGGAGCTTCGCGCCAGCAAAACTCCAAATTGCATGTCGGATGAGGGCTGGAACCAGTTGATCAGTGGAAGAAAGGCTGCCTGCAACGCACAGCTCCACCGATCTCTTGCACGAGCGGCTGCAGAAGCTGGCCTCCCAGCCCCACAAAAAATGAGAACTGCCAGAGAGGAGGATTGTGTTATAGCTGGCCAAGTTGTGAACCTGCAGCTGAACAACGGAGTTGAACTGAAATGCCTGTGGGGAACGAAGCAGTTGGACAGCAACATTTGGCTAGAGCTTACCACTGGCTGCTTGGAGACTTTGCAGGCGCTCATGAAGCCATGTGTGAATGAACACCAGGCAGAGGCAGCAGCCAGCGACGTGCAAGGTGAAGAGCCGGGTGCCAAGGTGAAGAAACGTAAGCTTCGACGGCAAGGCCCGCACTCCCCAACGAAGACACGCAGAAGTACAGCGTTGCCAGCTCCAGATGCAAACGGCGACGGAGCTCACCAATCTAGCGGCTAAATGATGTCCTTGTGACCTATTTTTGGGTGGGCGACCCACGGGTGGCTCTTTGAAAGGAGTAAAATGCCTGAGCGACCAGGCGCTGCAGAGAATCATTTTATCTCGCAAGCGCTGTGAGTTTGCAGAGAGAGATCTCGCAAACGGTCTTGCAATCTTTGTTGCGGCGGTGTTGCAAGGAGTCTGCGCCCTTGCCTCCCAGGTGATGCAAGCAACACTGACATCTATACGCAGGCCATTTTTGCTGATCAAAGGCAACCGCCATGTGTTTCTTTCATATCTGCAAGCCACCCCTGACTATGAGGATGTGGCAGCGCTTCTCAAGTGAAGCCAGGATCATTGCCACCTGTGGAGGTCACCCTGATCATAGGCGGGACGAGTTCAGGTTGTTGCGCACGCTCGAGTTGTCTAGGCGAGCGTGAAGGCTCTGCCCGGCCTTGCTGCGAGCTTAGCCCTGCAGCTTGGCCCTGCAGCTGGCTGTCATTCGTGCACGCTGGAGGCACCGACCTTTCCAGATCGTGCTCGGCTACAAACTGGTGGGGGTCCCAGTTTGCTTCCATGCCATTTCTGCAAACCTCACGTGGTCAGCGTTTGAGTCGTGCATCTGCCACCTACTGCATGCCTTGGCTCACACAGTGCCAAATGTACATGGCGATTGTTCACGTGCAAACCAAACATTATACGTCACCCAACCCAACAAACATGCCAGCCCAGCACCACTGTCACATCATCACCACATGCCACATGCCATCGCGTGCCATCGCCGCATGCCAGATGCTGAAACCGCACATTGCATCATTACAGCATCAGCACGGGCCGCAACGGCTGGCTGCTGCACCCATGATGGGAGCCATGGACACGGCGGTGACCGACGCCGACGTGTCCGTCGCGTCGGCGTCGGTCACTGATGACGCGGCGCTGGAGCACACCTCTCCAGCAGAAGAGGATGACGCCGACGCGAGTCTTCGGCGTCAGGCGGACTTGCCCTTGGGCGGCGCGTTCGAGCTCCTGGTCCTGGGCGCGGTGATCCCGCAGAAGGAGGAGGAAGAGCCGGCGGCGGAGATGAAGAAGCCGGCGGAGGAGATGAAGAAGCCGCCGGAGGAGATGAAGAAGCCGCCGGAGGAGGAAGAGCCGCCGGAGGAGATGAAGAAGCCGGCGGAGGAGATGAAGAAGCCGGCGGAGGAGATGACGCCGGCGGAGAAGATGAAGAAGCCGAACAAGATGAAGAAGCCGCCGGAGGAGATGGAGGAGATGGAGATGGCTCTCGCGGTGGAGAGCACATCCGCCGAGGCGAGTGAGGAGGTGGAAAGCAGAGGCGTCGAGCGGCCCCTTGCTGCGCACGGCTCCCTAGCCAGGGCCTGGCAGGGAAAGATCCCGGCCAAGGGGAGCGCGAACTCACAGGAGGCGCCGCCGGAGGCGCAAGGGAGCCAGGAGAGCAGGCAGGAGGAGGGAAGCAAGGAGGGAAGCTCGACTGCGTATTCAGGTACCTGGGCAACCACTCGTTTTTCACAGATGTCTTGCTGCGCCCCGAGTGGTTCGTGGCGGACCGCAGCATCTACGCGGAGGGCCTGACGACCGAGACTCGCAGCCGCGTTGTCGGCGCCGTCGAAGATGCATTCAGGCTGGCTGCTGGTTCCAGAAGATCGGCGCGGTCAATGTTCGCAAATCTCGATGGACGCCGCAGAACATTCGGCAAGTCCATGGATGTAGTCAGAGTTGGAGCGGACACCCGCTTCGTGGACCACGCGGTGACTGCGCTGAAACTTTGGGCTGAATCGGCCTTGGGCGCTGGTCGCCTCATCCTGCGGATGCACCACTTCCTCACGGCAGATTTTTTGGGCCAGACTTCCTCAGTGCTGGTGCAGCTGCGAACTTTGCTTCTGTCTGTTCACCTGTTGGGTCGGCCGGGCTGTAAGACGGCTTCAGACATGAGGGGGTATCACCTGAAGTTTATGCTCAACGACCTGTACGTCTTCATGGCCTGTGCGACCTGCGCCACCGTCAAGAGCACCCGTTGTGGCGTCCTTCGGCAGAGTGCAAGTGTCGAGCTTGCAGTCGGCTGTGGCATCTTCGCACCACGTTCATGTTTTGGGGCCCCAGTCCTCTATGTCTGGCGTGGGCTATGTCCGGCGACGCCGACAACTGCCGCGAGGCGTTGGATGCCGCGCCTGCCAGATGGACAGCATTTCGAACAGCGCTGCAGAAGCACTTCAAAGTCGCACCCGATCTATACTTTGTGCAAATGCTGCCATGCATCTGGCGTCATTTTGTGCGCATGGCTACCAGAAGACGCAGCGCAGGCCAAGTGACATGGAAGACTGTCGCCAGGCAGTCAGTCGAGTCTCTGTGGCAGCAAGAGTCCATTAGCTTCGAGGAGTCCTGGACGCATTTGCGCCGTTTCCAGCTGCAGGACCAATTTGTGCAGTTGCAGGACTCCAGAAAGCTCTGGTTTCTGCTCAAAGTCCGCTGGTTCCCCGGCATCGCCCGCAATCAAGTGGAAGGACTGCTCCGGCAAGCTCAGAGCCAGCGAGAGGGGAGCGTTCGTCCAGGTCGAAGGCCGGGGCTTTTGCCGAGCACAATCTGCTGGAGCGCAGAAAAAACAAAGAGAGCGAGCTGCCCGTTTCGAGTTAGTGCACCGAATTCTCAGCGAGCATTTGTTTCGGCTTTGCAGCGTTTGGCTCGAGCGAGTTGGCACAATCCTTCGGACCAAACATGGCAGACGCCAAGCTCGCTCTTGCAGTGGCGGCGCCAGTTGCGACGCCCTGCCGAGCCCCGCTAGCGGCGCTGCAAGCGCCCATTTGGCAATGCATCCACGCCAGCGCGGAGAGACGCAAAGAAGAGCTGGAGGCAGAGGCGGCGGCGGCGGCGCTCAAGCGCTCCAAGCGCAAGAGCGAGAAAGCAAGCCGGAGTTCACCCAAGCGTCGCCGCAAGGCCAAGTCTGGCCGCGACAGGCAGAGCGATGCCGTCGAGCTTGCCGCCTCGCCAGCCGTAGCAGAAGACCTGGATAAAGCTTGTCCCGCTTGTGGATATTCCTGGTGCAGGTGCTGGCAGCAAGCCCTTACTCCAGGACACGAGCTTAGCCCGATAAAATTCGAGGACTTCGACCGTCTGTGGGAGGGCTTCGAGCAGCAAGAAGTGGAAGACATCTTCACGGCCAGTGAAGCGGAGCCGTGCGCAGGCCAGACCCATAGTATGAGGGACTGTGTTGATCTACCAGATACTGAGTGCCCCAACGAGAAGACACGCAGAGTCTAACAAACATGGATGTGCGTAAGCTGATCTATGGGAATACCCACACTTTATTGATCAACATAAACAAAGGCCCCGAGATTGTTGATCAACAACGCCGGGGATGTTGACCTTGTTGATCAACAATGTCTCATGGATGGTACCGTCAATCTTTTGTCGATCAACAATGTCGGAGACCCTAGGATTGTTGATCAACAAAGTTGAGCGGGTCGACCTTGTTGATCGACAAACTATTCGATCACCAGCATCCCAATCCCTAACTCGAAATGTGCCTGCAGCATTGCTAGGTGAAGCGGATACCACTGGTCTCCGACACTCGCTGTGAGGGGGAGCCACCGCTGCAACAAAGATACATGTCCCATTTGAGCAGTGTGCCACATTTGATTTGGCTTTCTTGTCTACCCTCCGCAAGGGCAACTCAAGGCCATACCTGGCTCGTAGAATGGAAACGTATGAGTTGATGGCGCTCCTGATTTGCCTGGTGCTGACCCTGAGCATTTCCCAGATCCTAGATCCACAAGACCACCTTGATGGTTGATCGTTTGAAGGCACACCTCTGGCGCTCCAGGATTTGGACGTGAGCGACGTCTCTGGGCTGTCCGATTATCAGAGCGACTATAATTAGGCCAGGATTGCAACATGCATGTCTAATCACACATGCGTGTGAGCGGTGTTGTTTGGCTGGCGTGTCTTACCAGTTGCAGAGCAAATGCTCGCATGGAGCAGCAGAGTAGTGCTCGCTGCAGCGTGCATTTGCGGCTTGTGTCCCATAGGCTGTCAGCAATGGCAACCCGTGATGAGAGGGTTGTAGCTCATGCCAAGGAGCTGCAAGACTTCATGCGCAGTCAGGAGCCTGTGCTGAGCAAGCAAAAGTATGAGACCCTGATCGACAAGCAGTTTGGGGAGCTTAAGAAGCAGCTGGGAGCTGCCCCCCTGTCTCCCAAGGGCTGTATGGAGCTGACTCAGCACCTGCGTCAGTTCGCCTGGGGAGATGACAAGATGTCGGAGTTCTCCGACCTCATGCAAGATGCCATTTCAAAAGGATCGCGAAGCCAACAAAGCGCGCCAACCAAACAGTGACAGATTGGATGCCGTACTGGAGCGTGAAAGATCTTGAAGTTCTAGGAGGCACTGATGTCTCTTTGGCATGCAAGCGTGACACCATCATAGTGCGTATGTTGAGGTGTGGCTTGCACCTCCCTGCCGAAGCGGCTTGGCGAGAAGTCATCCGCAGCGCTCAGGCTTGCGGGGTTGACTGGCCAGGTGATCCCACACAGCACTACCAGCTCCTGCTTGACATGAAGCGGTCTCTGAAACAGCGAGTCAGGAACACTGAGAAGCCCGAGCCTTTCATAGAGGCCTTCTCTGGGGATGTTTCCAAAAATCCCCGCGTCAGCTTACACCGACAGCCCGCCGGGCAAACGTCTTTCTGACGCATCGCATCTGGGCCAGTGGATGCCTGTGAGGAAGAGCTCCAACCAAGTCAACGTGGCTGCCCAGCCATCATCGTCCTGCTCGGCAGGCCCGGCGCAGGCAATGGAGCTCATGATGCATATGTTCCAGCAGTTCGCAGCTGGCGCTCAAGGAAATCCAGCCCGTGTCAAGGTGCTTCCCAAGAAACAGAACTCGCTGTCCGCGCCCCCGCAGCTCGCCTTGGCTAAGGAGACACGGTCCACTGCCCTTTCACAGAGCTCTCCCGCGCATTCTGAGCGACTGGAGACCGCCAGATGGGGTGGGGAGAGTGAATGAAGAGGACACAACTCCACTTCCAGATGAGAAGCAGAGCCCTACGAATGCAGATGAGAAGCTGCTCCCTCCAAGACCCGAGGTGGACTTGGCAACCTTCCAGGCAGCCTACAAAACGGCCAGCTGCAAAGGCATCCCCTCCTCTTAAGGAAGACGCAGGTCAGCCTAAGAAGAAATCGCCTACCTTGGCTAAGGGTTCAGCTGCAAAGGCATCCCCTCCTCTTGAGGAAGACGCAGGTCAGCCTAAGAAGAAATCGCCTGCCTTGGCTAAGGGTTCGTCCAAAGCGACGCAGGCGGCTGAGGAGGAACATGTGGGAGCTGGGTCAGACCCGGAAGCAGCGTTTCCAGAGGAGCACCACGCTTTGATCAGATCCATGCCAGTGGACGCGAAGCCGGCGCCCCACGCAGGCCACGGCCGCCACTCCTACACAGTTGCGTATCATGGAGGTCGGGTGGAAGTGATGCTTCGCAAGAAAGCATTCCGACCAAAAGCTGATTGCCAGGGGCACGCCTTGCAGGCATCGCAGTGCCTCGGCTGCTCAATGTTTGGGTTTTCATTTGCAGTTCTTCCCGCAACGAAAAATCAATGTCGTTTCTATAGGGTGCGCCTCATGACACCACACATGCTCGGTACACGTTGCTGCGCGCTGTCTGTTAAGGATTAGCTTCAATGGCGTCGGAGGACTGGAAGCTGCGTGGGATCGCGCCTGTGCCGTGGTGCGTGCGGAAGGCACTGAGGCAGATGACGTGGACTGAGTGCTGCCTGATCTATAGCTGTTGCGCTTGCACTTCAGATGTGTCTACGTCTCAGGTGATGCCTGTGTGTAGTACGTTCAAGTCCGGCAGGCGAGCGTGACAAAAAATGCCGATCTTGCTATTCGTATTCGCGCAGTTAGCAACTGGAAATCCCGACCGCCCATGCATGCACATTGGCTCAGAGAGGTGACCGGTTGCATAGCCATGGAACCTTCCTGCAAAAACCTGTGGCTTGCCAACCCTGCAAATGAATCTACCCTTAAAAATGCTTAGGGGTAGAAAGTGTATGATGCTTATACTTGAATAAGCGCATAACATTTGGATGTCGTGCCTTAGTGCAGAGCATTGGCTCGCACTGCCTCCTGCAGAGCCAATCTGTGCTCGCATGGCGTCCGGATCTGGAGAGGCGTCCGGACATGGAGCGCCATTGTTGACAAGACACTTTGTCACACAGTCGGCTCTAGCGGATATACTGCAGCGCCTCAGGGAGCAGCCAGACCTGATCTTGGGCGCCGAAGGCATCAGCCGTTCCTCCATCAAGAGGAAGCGGGAGCAGGCAGTCAACGTAGATGGCTATCTGGGAAGTGTTTTGAGACAGATCGAGTTCAGCAAAGATGATGGGAGCACGGTGGCAGCGTCCTACCTTGACCCAGCCGCTTTTTTGGATCTGATGCTTTCCAGGTCCGAATCTATGAAAGCGTTTTGGGCTGCGCAAGGGGAACGACATCCGGGCTGCTGGGATTTAGCCCTGTATTTGGACGAAGTGACACTGGGAAACCCCCTCAAACCTCTCAACAGACGTAAAGTCTGGGCAGTTTACTACAGTTACTTTCAACTTGGGAGGGCTATGCTGCAAAAGGATTTTGGATGGTTTACCCTTTTGCTCATCAAGCGCGACGAAGCTGCAGCTCTTCCGGGAGGTATGTCCCAGGTAATGGTGGCAGCGCTGAAGAGGCTAGTCAGCGAGGAAGGCGCCCTGGCGAACGGAGTGTTTCTGCCATCCATTGGCAAAATGTTCCAAGCCCGGGTGAAAGTTGTGCTTGGAGACGAGGCGGCGTTGAAAGTTACGTTTCAGCACAAAGGCGCGTCGGGCATAAAGCCGTGCTTTTTATGCCGCAACGTCGTCAGTGTGTCGTCCGAGCTGGCGTGCTACGATGAGGAGCTGGTCGCAATCAGCTCCCATCGTAAGGCGTCCTTTCAAGAACACACTGACAGCTCCTTGTTCCAAGCTGCGGACTATATACAGAGCCCCGCGTATGTCGGCGCCGGCGTTGGCCAGAGGAAGCTGATCCTGAAAGGCCTTGGCATAAACGCAGTGCACGAGGCGGGGCGTGATTGCTGACAACTTTGCGGGAGTTCAAACCGTGTTGCCTTACAACCTTTGTTGTCCATTGGCATTTGAGTTACGGGTGGATTTCGGATTTTGGTTCCCAGTGCTGCAGGGTGTGCTGTTTGACGCGTCCCTCCGGCAAGACATTCAGCCGATCTCGATGCTCCAATACGATTGGATGCACTGCGTGCTGGTGCAAGGAACTTTTGAGAAAGAACTTGAGCTGTGCCTCAAGGTTCTTGGGCCTTTGGGGTTCAGCTCTGAACGGCTTGACGCATTCCTGCGCCCTGGCGACACAAGATTTCAATTGTTTTCTGCAAATTACTATGTGTATGTAGTAATGAGCTCTTCTCAATTTTCTTTTTTTTTGGACTGGCTCCCATGCACTTACTGCAGGAGATCCCTTGTTTGGCCGAAGCACCTTCGCGCGTTGGGCGCGTCTGGCTCGAAATGCTTGTCCAAGTCCAAAACCTTTTCAGCGTCGGCTTCGGAGACTCTTACGGTGAGTGCGGCTATTCGCAGCTACCTGCAAAGTCTCAGGTTGGAGACGCACTCAGACTGGAAAATTCGAATCACAGTCATGTCCTTCTACGCTCTTTGCGAAGTGGTGGACGTGTTTGCCGCAAGTCTACTTTCGGATCCAGATGCGGATGCCCTGGATAGAAAAGTGTCCAGGCACCTCGAACTGTTTTGCTTGGCGCACACGGAGGAGGCAGTGATTCCCAAGCATCACTTCTTGATGCACATGGGCGACTTCGTCCGGCGCCACCCCTTGCTCTTGAACTGTTTCGTGCACGAGCGCCGCCACAAGGACATATAGTGAAGCAAACGCGAGTCTGTTTGCGCATGCGGTTCTGGCCCAAGAGCGTTTGTCTCGGGCTCTCTAAAACTTATAGAGTGGTAAAATGATGTGAAGCCAATGCCAGGAGATCAAGCGTTACGCCAACGAGATTCACAACGCTGGTAGTTGGTTCTCAAAGCATGTCATCCTCAACGCTGCTTTTGCTCAGCTCTTGCGTGTGCAGGAGTTCACGCCTCGGGATTTGGAGTTTTCCCCGCAAGTGGCTGAGTGCGACATGGTCCTATACACTGTAGGTACTCACAATGAAAAACAAGCATTTGCCGAATTCTTAGGTTTTGATGCGATTGACGGGTTTGCGCGGCTTCGCCCATGGAAGCTGTGTGGGTTTCAGGAAATATGCAAAGCGTATCAGCCTGATGTGGTTGTGGATCGCAGGCGCCTGGTAGGCAGTCTGACGTATTGCAAGGTTGGCAGCCGTCTACGGATCGTGCCAGAAAGCTGGTTTGGCTGATTGTGTCATGAGACCAGTCGACAAAAGAACCTTCCTGTCAGCCGGCGAGCGACCGTCTCCGCTTTACGCAGAGCAACGAGTATATGCTCGCGTGTCATATCCAAAGCCTCATGGTTGCAGCTTGTTGGCTGGAACTTTGGAGCGCTTGCCAGCTTAGTTTATTTAGTAAGCATGTCGTGTTTCGTGATGGATGATGGCACCCGGTGGGAGAGGGCGTGGATGCCAGAAGCGGGCTTGCCGTGGCTGCGGGAGAGCTCTTGGGTTCGCGGTGGCAACTCCGACAAGCTGGAGATGAAGCTCCCGATCTACCTTAACGTGACTGGTGTGCCCATGAGCAGCCGGATGTTTGAGTTCAAGGAAGAGCGCATGCACCGTGGACGCATGATTGTCGTGTACGAGGACCGGCAGCAGGGCTACTTGGACATCTTGTTCCGGAGGGTGAGGGAGGGATGCCGCGTGGTGGCGCCCACGTTGGTGTTC